TATATATATATATATATATATATATATATATATATATATATATATATATATATATATATATATATATATATATATGCAAATATGTCTACAAATCATCGAAAAAAAGACAAAAATCACGTCCAACGCAGAAATGGTGTTGCAACCTTGTAATCTTCCATCTTGCAACCTCAGATGGTTTTGGAAGTACCACAGTTCAAATCTAAGAAGATTACTGACGCCAAACACTTTTTCATGACTTGAAGAATTCCTGCTATGATCAGATATGTAAGGTAGGGCAACGACTGAGACCTCTTCCAGATCTGTCAATTCAATAAGTATAAAGCAAATCAAGAAAGCTCAAAGCAAAAGTTTTCAAAATCTTTTAAGAAATGGAAAACTTAAAGAACTTGTTTATCACCGTATAAAACTTGTTATGAACGGAATTTGTGAACAAATAAAAACGATAACGGCGCAATGAAAAGTCAATGAATCAGTAACAGTTAATATTAAAATATAATAAACAGAGTGTCACCATTGAAACCTAATTGCTTCATAGAAAGCGTAAAAATTGAGGAATTCTCAAAAGATTTTTAAAATTCAACAAAAGAGTGTTCCATTAAATGACGTACTCTCAAACGCAAACAACAACTAAGCGGTGATAGTCTTCAACATAATGTGATATAATAATGATAGTACACAATAATGATTTTAACAGGACTGATAAATGAGTCAACATTAACAACTGAGTATGTTGTATACCATCTCGAACTGTTCAATTTCAAGCAAATGGTGTGGACAGAACAGATTGTGTAAAGGGAAAATAGAGAATAGCCATCCAATTGTTTTTTTCTTCCCGTCACACTTCCTGTGGACACACACAGTCCCCTTCTTTATTACTTCCCTCCCAATTCATTTCATCCATGTCTCACACGGTCTTCCAATTATTTGGTATATTCCGATTTTTTGAAGTTTTCAGTTAAATTAGTACGTTTCTATTATAGAGAGACAAACAATGTGCTCAGGCTTAATTATTGGCCTGTCAGATTTCATTATTTGCAGCATATCTCCAAATCACCAAACAAATTAGATTTAAAAATTGCGGCCCCAGGGCATATTTGTCCTTTTCCCTCTTTTCACTCTCAACCTTGAGGTTATTTATTTGACTAGTTATGAATGCCTTTGAATCCGTCTTTGCTTAATTTTTGGCACATGAAGTTTCATTTCGCGAATTGTTATTCCTATTGCAGTGCTATAGGAGAAAGAAAATTGAGATATTATTAAGATACTGTAATATTCATAGACGCCACAATCTATTTTATTTGTTCCGATAATAAGGACGGATAAGGTAATGAACAGAAGAATTAGAGCAGCCAGAAAAATTTCTACTTCAAATTCGTTCAAATATTACATAGGAGCGCAAAGGCTTGATTTACTTCTTTCAGTTAACACTTAACTTTTATGGTTTAGTTTTTAAGATGAAAAACCTCATTTAATCAATTCTATCAAACTTTTTTAAGGATAATTTCAAATTAATAACAAACTACTGTAAATGGGAGATTTGCGCAATTGTGCCTGCTGAACTACGAGAAATAATATTGGAGAGGATTGGAAAAGAAGCTTAGAAATTGCTTATTAATTGTGACGAGTAAATGGAGCTAGGATGTTCTTATCCTAGAGAGATTAATCCAATCTATATGAGCGTCCAGCTTTTATAGTTGTTGTCACCATCTTTGCATAAATTTACATCCAGCCTTCAGATTGGATTTTATTACTTCCAAACCCATTTAATCTTTCTAAAGTTTCAACAACAAATATCAGCTCGTTTTACACTCCTGCCATTCACTTTTCAATATGTATTTATGTATAAATAATTGTGTACCTCTTATCTACATGTTTATTTAATTATTTATTAACAGAACTGAAATAAGTAGTCAAGTAATAAATAAATTCTGATTTTATGAATCCAATCATCCAAGTATATTAGAAGCTCTGTATCATTCTCTTGTTCCCCTCCCTATCTTTCCCTCTTCCTCTCTCTCTTTATTTTTCTCTGGATCATCTAATTGATTCTTATACTTCCATGAAATTGAAATCAAGCTCTCTAGTAACTTTTGCATCGATTTTGAGGCATTTTCGGGGATACGGTATCAATTTGATGTTCTCGACCAATCAACGACAAGAGAATCAAAAGTGTAGGAAGACAGTTGTGAAAAATGTTAATTACACTTCACGGCACTTCATTTTTTCATAATTTTTAGTCGATAGACCTATCAATAAGTTTTAGATTCTAGTCCTATATGTATACGATTCTGTGGAACAGGAAAACGTAACTTCATAGGACACCAGGACATTTGATATTTTTCTGAATGGGTGATCGGAACTTTTCTGATTCTAAACGTAATTTCAACAAAGATCGCAGTTTACATTTGGGTCGATGCTCCAGCAATGAATGTAATGCAAAACATTGCTCCAGAAAACGAAATTTATCATTCAATTCAAATGTTGCTAATGAACAAATGAGGTAAGGATAAGGACGAAATCAATTTTAATTTCTCTTTTTCCATTAGGTTGGAATTAAAAACAAATTATGATATTGAAATTAAAATGAGAAATCATTTCAGCAAACAATCTTCATCTGAAGAAAACGATGAACTTGATATACCGAACAATTTTTTTGATGAAGATGACGATGATGACAATTCGAATACCACTGAAGAACCGAAAGAAGACAGATCCTGTAGAAATGCAAATTTTAATCAGGCATGACAATTAAGTCATCAAACGCCAGGATTATTAAATGGTTTTTGTGAGATCATAGGACATGAGAATGACACATTTGAAAAATTTATGATTCATTGCAGACATTTTCTGGGACTAATGCAGTACAAACCATATCATCTTTATTTCGGAATTCAAATGGCGAAAATCAAAGTGAATTTTTCTTTTATTCCGTTTTACTGTTTGAATTATTTTAATGTTTATTCTTTTGATGACGTATCGGAGTCAAAACTTTTTCTCAATAAACAAACATTGACTCCTTATTTCAGAGGGCGAAATAACCATTGATTATCAGTTTCATGGTCATACTACCACTAATTTCAATAGCAGCACACGCTTTTTTGCAAGTAGTACTGATTCCACTTGTCACAATCATTCTCAGCAGGTGCAATTTTGAAATCCTAAAATTTAATTAAAATTCAAGATGGAACAAGCGCTTTCCTACAGGTTGACCATATTACTTTACAGTTAGTTTACACTGGACATATGCCAGTCAGTTCACATTATGTGGTAAACTGCAGCACAGTGCCAGGTAACAATACAAGCATTAGCGAAAATTCATATGGACGTATTAACGGTATACCGGAAACGATAAATGGAGCAATGAATCGAAATGTAAATCAGCATGTATTGTTTTCATCTAAAAATTGAAAAGACTTGAAAAGGTCAAAGCTCAAAACTTTCACTCACTTACTGCCGCGTCAATTTTTACATAATCATTTGATTAGTGTCTGATAGAGCAATAACTGTTTTAAATTTTGGTATTATCATTGGAATTTTTTGAAATTGTGCATTTCAGAGTTTTAATACAATGGAATCTTTCATCCGACCTCCCTTCAACAGTTCAAAACGTCAGTAAATTTTGCATCACAAATTTCCGTTTTTTATTTCATGTCGTACAACATAAAACTGAAATTTCATTTGAAATTGTAGTATTATTTATCTTTTAAATAGCACAAGACAAATATTTTTCGCATCCAAAATTTCCTTATTTCAGCAACGATTTGTAATTTTGGTTTAAGTCGCACAATGTACGGTAATTTTGGGCATTCATTGCCTTCATTACATGGCATACCCATGCTTGCTTCGGAAACGTTTTGTGCGGTACCTGGTCGAACGTCGTTGCTCAGTTCAACTACAAAGTATCACGTCACAATTGGAGAAATTTATAGGCGTATTTCACCGCCAGAATGTCTGAATGCCTCGCTACTTGGAGGAATTTTGCGAAAGTTTGTTGAAATCAAAAAAAAAAGAATGAATAAAAATTAATAGAGATACCAAATTCTTGTTCAAAAAAGGCCTTAAGGTGACTAATAAGAATTCACCCTAGAAGTTGTCAATTTAGCCTTTTAGCCTAATCATTTGCAACGTAATCAGCAGATAAAATGACAATTAATATCGTAATTTCTCCGTTGCACTGATGTTATTTAATATTTCAATTAAATAACCAAAAAATTTGCTGAAAGAAGTTTTATCAAAATCCACATTGAAATTTCATTCCGTAACATGATTTTAATGCAAATTTAGAGCTAAATCAAAAGATGGTGGGAAAACTTTGCGTGACAGCCTGAAGCGAGTTGGATTAACATTGCCGGCTGGGCGACGAAAAGCTGCTACTGTCACGGCATGGACGGCATTAGTGGAAGGCAGCTTTTTTAAACTTCAAATTTTAAACTCTCATGATCAAGAAAGTATTTTAATATAAATATATCATAAAAGCTATCTTAGTGTTATATATCAACCAATTAGAAAACTCAGTTTCTAAAAAACGTTAAAATCAGATCCTTATTTTCCAGAGGAAGCTCTACAAATGGCTAGAGATTTTGCGGCTCTTAGTGAGAAAGCATTCCCAATACGGCAAATTGCTGAATTTATTTGTAATCGAATAATTTGGCAAGATGATCCGCGTGAATGCTGCACTCTCATCGAACATACAAGGTTCAAAGGGCAATGAACGATGTTCAGAGAAGAGAAAGCCGATCACTTTTAACATGCTTTATGTTTTTCAGACTACTTATCAAAGAATTGTCGAGTATTGTCAATAGTGAATTTTCTGGGACTGTATTTGGTAGTCAACAGAATCCAAACACATTAACTACTCCCGCTATACAGCATGGCCTTGCACACTTCTCCCTGGTAAATATATTTTTTATTTTATTCATTTCAAAAACGAAATGATAATTTAGCCCATCAGAAACTAACCTAACAAGTACCATTTCTTAATTACATTACTCAAATAAATATCACTTTTGATCCACTTATATCTTACAGTTAACGCATGGTTTTGGACCTTTGGCATTTGTGACTGTGTTCGATACGATTATTGTTATGCTTGATGAAATGTTGAGATGCTATGATCGAAATGAGCAGCATTTAAATATTCCATTATCGGAGATATCCGTAACTCATATACCATATAGTCGCTTCACCTATACCAATGATGTGTAACCTTTAACCTCTCCACTTTTTATAAAAATCTAAACTTCAATGACGAAAGTTATACACATGAATTGGAATACACTGCAATTAGGCTTCATAAGTCCAATAAGGTTCTTTTTCAACTTTCACTTTAAGCGTATTTTTCGTATCGGCTACACGACATCTATTCTACAAATCTCCAAATCACATGCATAATTAAAAAGTTTTTTTCTTTCCAAGAAAAGTTTGAATTGAATTCGGTGAAATTTTCTTTGGATATTTGAATGCATTCATTCTTTTGTGACATCTGACAATAATTAATTGATGTTAATAACTATGAAAAAAGATATTGTGACAGAGGTGATACAAACATTATTGCTTACTGTTTTATTTGTTGCGAAAAGTTTAATTATAAACAAAGAGGATTTTAAAAAAAGAAAAACAATAATCGATTACGATTTGCATCAAACAATTTTAATCATTAATCATTCCGGCCAGTACAGTGAAAGAGCATTATATTTTGAAAGAAGTATATACACAACACAAGCAAACCAATCAAGTATAAAGATGAATGTCAAGGATATATTGATAGACTTCTAGCAGTTCCATTGAATTTATTCTTCAGGAATGTTGGAAAATGACTTCTCAGAAGATAAAAACTGAAAGGATCCCATCAAAAGTTATTAATTCATCAGTCTATCATGTTTAGCTTATTCTGTGCTTCCTGCTTTTGTTTTTAGTAAATCATACTTATGGTCAATATTGAAACTGACCCTCTCACTTAATAATGCTAATTAGATTGGGAATTAGAGAATTGTTGCTTAACTTCGTTATTTAGAGCAGGATTAAAAATTGAAGACGTTTTAGAAATTTAAATTCTTGTTTTTACCATCTTCAGAATGTTTCTGAGTAACTCGCTTTTGTGAAGGAATTAATATAGCTAATGATCTACACTTTATCATTTTTCATCTAATTAATTGCTTAAGTCGGGCAAAGCTGTAAAGACAAACAACAGACAAAGTAAAAGAAGAAAAACGAAACCAGAAAAGTACAGGAAAAAGAAACATAAGCTATTTTCATGAAAGTTTAAAAAAAAAAAGAAACGGAATGATTTGGATTGAAATACAATGAATGCTTGTGTGCTAAACATTGTCGCACTCGCAATACAAATGATGAAAGGCCTTTATGAGGATTACTTTGATGTTTTAAAGGAACTAAATTTCTCTTAAAATAATAAATAATTGGATCGTTTCAAACCGGACTTCTTGGCAATGAATTCATTATTTAATCCTTGATGCATCCACTTGGTCAACAACCAATATACCCAATTATTCCTTCACGTATTCAATCGAATAATAACTCATTCAACTGCACTGTTTTCATTGGTACCTATCATTTTCCAAAAGTGACTACAATTTCTGACGGAAATATTTCGGGAATCGGAAATGCGAAATCATTTGTATTGATGCAACTATGGCAAAGACAAAAGTGCGATAATATTTTGAAACACAATGAAAAATTTGCATTTTTTTTATCAGAAAGGACGAAGTGATTTTTCACATATTGCACGCAGTAAGAAGAGAGACAATATTCCAGTCAAATAAAGGACAAAATGAAATATCACCTCTCTTATCTACCACACAAAATTCCATATATTCATACTCCATATATTCATACTTTCCTTTTGACCCGAAGCTTGCATTTTTTAGGAATGCATAATTTAATTATATAAGGAAGATTCCGTCATCATCACTATCACATTGTCATAATAACAATAATTACTGCAGTGTCCAGATTTGACAAGTGATATAAAGTAGACGAAAAGGAGGTGATAGTAGCATTTGGGTGAAAACACTGAGAAATTGTTCAAAAGAGAAGAGGTGGAAGTTTTGGTGCCAGTCGCGACCTATAACCATCTTCCATTAATTGAATCCCGAATGACCCATTTCCGATCTCCACAACGTTGCAATGGAAGATTTGCTTTCAAAACAGGGGAATATTGTAAAGAGATTTTACGAGGATTTGATAGAATTTTGAGTGAAAATGTAAATGCATATGAAATGAATTCTCATCATCAAACTCCGTACCAATCTACCACTCATCAGTCGACAAACATTCTTAAGCATTACATACTGTTGGATAATAAAGCGATGTCCGGGATCAACTGTGATAGTTGGATAAATCGAACATTTGGTTTGCTTAATATCCGCCAATACATTGATATTTCAAGGTGCTTTTGGCCATATTTACTTATTTACTTGACTAATTCGAGATCGTATTGAGAAAAAGACGATGGATTTAGGGAAAAAGAAAGCAACATCTGATAACTTAATCATCTTGCCAGTCAATAAAGGAAATTCTGCTAAATGGCTAAATTAATATTTTGATAAATTTAGTAAGTGAGTAATGCAATCAAAATTTGAAGCATACAAAGAGATATTAGCGAATTTTTAAGAAAAGGAAAGGTATCAACAAAGTAAGTCTCTGGAGTTAAACCTAACCGTCAAGGTACTGTATTGGTCAAGGTAAGGTTAAAGTTAAGATGGTTGGTTAAGGTGGTTAGGGTTAAGGTTGAGTTAAGGCTGAGGTTAAGGTTGAGGTTGGTTAAGGTAAATATCTGAGGAAATGAAGAACGAAGTCGTCTTAGTTTCGTATGCAACAATTTTCAGAAATCCTTTGAAACCAAATAGCACAGATCCAGGTCTTTTCAAAAAACAAAAAAAAAATGTTCTTAATTCAAATTACTTTTCATAAGTAAGCTATATTTGTGATTTATTCAGAAAAGACAAACAAGATTCTTATTAATTAATCATCAATCGAAAGATAATTTAATCATTAGCAAAGTATTGATTTTTGGTATAGAATGAAAGATTTGATTATGGGAAATCTTCCAAACAAAAAGACAATATTTTTTAAATAATTATTTTCAAGCTATACTTACACTGAGCACCTAATACTGCTAGGAGTGAAACACGAAGTACTGTAACATACATATCTTGCTTCACTGACACACATTTCATGTTTGTCATCTTCCCTAAATAATCTTACCCGTCATTCTAACTACAATAAATACTTCTTTTATTACTTTTTTCAACATACATATTGTAACTTGTTGAACAGTAATACACATATTAAGCGTGAGACTAAATGAGCAGCTGAACATATACCACTCCTCTAAAAACAAAGTAAAGCTTTCACATAGTTCAACTTTACAAAGCAAAATATCCGATTTTTAATACAACTCTGCGAATCGTAGCTGGAATATAAAAATAAGACGGTATCATGGGACCAGGTTTCGCCTTAGATTTTCACTGATGAGAAGACTAAAAGAGGAATCGATACCTTCCGGAAGATTTTTCATGAATTCACCATATGGGGATACTAATTTATTAATCATTTTCAAAGTTCAAGGTAATCTAAGCGGAATGAATTACCTGTGAAGCAAGAAGTAGCAACTGATGAAAACCTTTCTTGCACACTGACTGGATTAAAGTCTATTAGTGCTGTTTTGTTAGCACCTAAATTTCAAGATGATGGTGATGAGAAGAGTTCTTTATATAAATCCGGTAGCGCGCCTTTCTCCGTTGCTTGTGGAAATGTAGTGAATAACTGTCCCAGTAAACGGATGTGTTCCTGAGCATGCCCACGCAAACGTTGTATTATTTCACACAATTTTTGCATCAATGGGCCAGAATCAGCTATCTGCAAAAGTAGCCCAGCACTAAAAACCATAAATGACCAAAATTTGATAATTCTTTGCTTGCACAAAACTATTGAAATATATGTTTCAAAATGCTCGAATCTGAACATTCAAAGCATACTCTTGCCGTGATTTGCTGCTGCAAGCAATTCCTGAATTGTTCAATTACATATTGTCCAAGGGAAGAACGATCCAGTAATATCCAGGCGGACAGCAAACCCATCTCCGAGCTCGTTAACCGAAGCTGGGCTAATTCATGAATGCAGCTATGCATCTGCAAATCGACAGCATTTTTCGTCAATTATAGGAAATCCGAAACAAGCGAATTACGAAAAAGAAGTAAGTTATTGAAACAAGTTTGAAAAAATTGTTTAGAATCAAGATTTTTGTCGGAAAAACTTCTCAGTGCAACCTTACTCCAAGAAAAAAATTCAATTCGGCTTGTTCACTAGGTCGAAAAATAGAAGCTGGAAAGACTTCTCGATTAAGAATCAGCGAGGTAGTTTCGGGATTGTAATGCCTGGTGACGACAATAGCCGCAAGTTCGAAAACACATCCTTTAAGCAGTGCAATTTGCTCTTCCTGACTTAGCTGCATGAAACCTTCTACCATTTTTGCAAATTCGATAATACACTGAATTATCCGAGTCAGCTCTGCCGCAAATTTCTTCCATGCATCGAACCTGTTCTAAAGTTTTAATTGGAAAATGTCTAGAAAACATTGCATGCGTGTAATGGGAGTGTGATCACATAGGTGGAAAAGGACTGAATGCTTTGCTTTCCCAATAATGAAAACTTGGCGACTCTCCTAGACCTAATTAATCAATGATAAGAATGTGAAACCTAAAGGTAAAAATAGCTATCTGGGAAACTTTGGAAGGGAAGTTTTTCTTAAATTTAGTTATATTTTATTTGCAGCTGAAACAACGTTGGATTTATGCTCACCGCGGTCGATTAAAAGAATGTGAATTAATGCGAGAAATACATTTCAAAAATGAATAATTCATTTGTGCGACATACTTGTCCGAATAAAGGAAACAAAATATCGCAGTTGAAATCCTTTAGCGGGACAATTTGATTATTAATTCTATACCTCATCTTTTTGATAAAATAATTTTCTGGCTTCTAAAAGATAAGATTCATTTTTTCCTTTTGAGGTAATATTCAGTAGGCAACTGTTTTCATCACAATCCAAAATCCTTTTAGAGATCACCTCCTGCTGTCCTTTCAAGGTGACAATTAATGACTAGTGTTTTCAATACATCACAACCACCTTACAAACATCTTACAAACATTCTTGTACCAGGTAGTTCTTTTGTACGGAGCAAAATTACCAAGAATTCTTTCCTTCTTATCGTCTAACCTTTACCCCTTTTCTAGGTCATTTTTGGCGGGATGTCGGAGATTTTAAGACACTCTATTAAATTTAAACAAACTACACTGGAATACAACAGTCTTGCAACCATCAGTGGTATCAGCTGATTACAAATCGTACAACTATCAGCAGCATTAACCGACTCACAATTCGTATTACTATCATCAGTATTAATCGATCATTCAAAGTTTTTCAGAAGTTTTTCAACATTTAGAAATTCCAACAATCATACAAATACAGTACTGCCAGGAATTACAATGGTAGTTGTCAAATCATTCTGCTAAATCTACTAATCTTTCATTGTCACAGTAGTATAAAAGATTAATGTTTGAATCTTTCAGATCATGAATAATTTGCCGATAATAACATATATACGATAAATTTTGAAACAAGTTCTTCAGCAAGGCAATTAGAAGTTTTTGTTTTTATTGTCAATTTTTTTTCCTCAATTTTTGAAATATTTGAAACATTATTCAATCGCTAAAGGATCGATAATGGGAAGTTCCTGAATTTCCTGTCACAACTTTTCCTACTGATTCTCTTCTAATTCTTTTACCTTTTTCTTTTCTATAGTTTTACAAATTTTCCTGAAACTTCATTCGTTTGGTCCCGTGATTTGCTGTACTTCTATCATTTCTCAATGATGGTCGGCACACAAGGACAACTCATTCAATTGAAGGAGGTCCATGACCGGGATCAACAGAAATCAGACAGCCCACAATGGACACCAATACATAGCCGATGAGACTGACATGCACACATATAAAATTCACCGGGTGATCATACTAATATACGATAGGAGTAAATCTGTCGCAAGGACAGGAATTATAAAAGCTCTCGAAAAGCAAGTTTCAGTAATAAAAGGCATTTACACTATAAGCCCACAGTACGAATCAAATTCACTTCACATCTCGTAATACTGACCTTAACTCAAAATTGAACTTGATATAGCCGCAAAGATGACTTGAAATATTAGAACCATTGCCTCAGTAAAAAATTTTCAAAAATCTTCCACTTTCAAAAATTTTTGGAACGTTTTCCAAAATCTCAAGTCCTAATAGCTGGGACTTAGTGATTATTAATTAATACTTAGGAAATAAGGATAGGGGCTTCGTACAACATCAATATTGATTTTGGTGCTATGTGAGAAGAATTATCGATATCCTTCGCTTCGTTGCATTTTCTGGTAGCACTCAACTAGCGTTGCAAGAATTCAATAAACTTAACTAGTTTTCAACGAAAAGTAACTAAAAGATTTATTACATTGTAGTTCAATACGATCCATAATCTAATGGTATATCCATTCATAATAATGGAGAAGTCATCAAACCAATTTGTTTGGGTCATCTCCGTGTTGGTTGATTGGACACTTTTTACCACACTTTAACTTTAACATTGAGCCGTGACGAAGTGGACAAATCGAGTTTTCTAATAACAGAATGTAGCTAACAAACCTGTCGAAATGAAGACAATTATAAAATAATTGATGATGAAGTAGGAAAGAATGGCAGAACTAAATTTTTTCCGTCGCATTCTTTCAGCAACTAATTTTATTTTATATAAGTAAATATTTGGCAGTTGAGATTTGTTACAAAGGATTTCGCAGAGATATCATTTTAGGACCTACCTCAAGGTTCATGAAACTTAGCAAGGAGCTCATGTAATAATACCTTATGATTTGCTCATTATAGCACAGCAATACCTGGCTCTCTAGGCTACAATATTCCCACTTCATATTTGCAAGCACAGTTTACTGTGAAAAACTTTATCCACAAGGTAATACTAGGTTTTCCAAAAAACTAATCCAGAACTTGTATGTGGTGGTGCAAATATTACATTGCCGGCAAACATGACGTTCAAGAATAAATTACCACTAATTAAGAATGATTGATTCCAATCAAATGATCACCAGCATGAAAATATTGAGGATACTCACCATACTACGGTATTGTTGCTCGGTGAAAGTGCTTGTTGATGCCGCAGTCAATCGATCCGCCGCTGCGATGGTAGCAGGACCATGTGCTGAATCAAACGCAGCTGTAACACCCGCAATTAAATCTTCATCAGGTTGAGATGCACCGACGGTCCGTTGAGGATATCCACCACTAGGAGCAGGTACCGCTGCCTGTAAAACACTGAGGAATTTTTAATAGAAATCGATCAGTGATAGTATATATATACAGCACAGTATAGTATGTTCCAATCACTAGTGGTAGATGTGATTACAACCAGGGTAATGCTGATGATGACAAAAATCATCCAAGTAATTCTATTATCTCGTATTTGCATGGAAAACAATACAAAGCAGAAATTTTTAAAAATATAAAAATTAAAATCTGAATAAACTTATGAGATTACCTGCTGAGCGATTGAATAACCTTGTCCCTGAATAGAAGGATAGCTAACGGGTGCAGCTGCAGCATAACTAGCAGCGTTGGTTGTGTAGGAACTCGCAGCGTAAGCCACGGACGGCTCATAACTGTTACTGTAAGCAGCAGCTGGATGTATCGGAGCGGGGGGCGAGTACTCACCATACGGAGAATATGCGATTCCTTGAACTTCAGCCATTTGTTTGTGCATTCTAACCTATAGTACAAACGATGATTTACTTCATACTACCATAAGGTTATAATAAAAGTAAACAAAGATGTTATAAACCAATGGCCAATATAATAAAGCGGGTAGGATGGATATTTTCTTTCAATTTGCTATAACAATTTCATGTTGCAACACTTCTTTTAATATTTTATGATAGAAAATATAATGTCAATGTTCGTGCTATTGACAATGAACTAATGAATGGTTAATTTAGTAATTAGGTAAATGTCTTGCAAATGGATGACATTATTCATCTTGATTATATAAGTTCCATGTAGAGGCGGGAAAGCTGAGAAGAAAAGAGAAAAGGAACGGGATTAAAATCCTCAAGAAATGGAATAGCTACACTTTAAATGGCCTTGACTTGTTAATGAGGACAACATGAAAGTGTGGTTTTAAATTTGAAATTTCATCTAATTACGAGTTACAGTTAAAAGTAGTAAAGGGTTCCAAAACTTATTCCATTTTATTCCATCTTAGTTGTTACAGTATGGTGGAATTTGATTATAAATGTTGTGAAAATTTTGATTAAGAAAAAATTGTTTTAAGCCTATTTTGGCTCATTGTTAAAACCATATTCGGTCGATTTCAAATGTATTCTTAACGAGGCAAATGGGATGAATCATTTCATTTGATCCAAAACTCCCTTTAATTCTGATGAAATGAGCGAAATCGAATTTAAGAAAAAAAGCATTTCAGAAAGATAAATGTAAGTTTCACCTCATCTTCCACTTTTTCACGTTGTTTTTTGCTCATTCGGCCGAATTTTACCGCATCTCGACTCATTCCAAGTTCTAGACATTTCTTCAGACGACAGTACTGGCATCGATTCCGATTTACTCGATCTACGATGCATTTCTGTTGCCTAGGACACTGATAGTTGTTAAGCGTCGATTGACTGCGCCGAAAAAATCCCTGTAACAATGACACTTGTTATTTTTCTTTAATACTATGAACAATGCATTCAAAAAAGAAAACTTGATGGTAAATTAAGACAAAAGATTGCTGTCTTTCAAAGCAGACGGAACGAATTAGAAACTTCATGCCAGTTTGCTAACAAATGAACAAAACTGACAACAGATTTCAGCCACCAGAATTACAATTATCATTGGTAATCAACGATTCTGGTAGTTTCTGCGTCTCTTGTATATCATTTGTAATACCATTTTGTAAGTTAGATCCATATCTCGAGTTGAAAGAAATTCCAAAAAACGCATTATGAAATTTGAATTTATTGTTGGGAAGGAGAGATGATAATATTGTTATTAAAATGTTACGGTCCAAAAACCAAAAAGAAGATAAGTTAGATTCTGATGAAGCACTTAACAGACCGGTAATTTATTGAATAGATCGCGTTTTATTGTAGAAATCGATTTTGGGGGACGCAATTATTTCTCTTTAGTACTTAGAATCCATCATTTTCTCCAGATTATTGTTTGCAGTTTTCATAGTATTAGTATTATTTTCTTCACCAAAGTTTCAAGAAATTCATTTCAGAAATCCGTCATGTCATTTGAATGAATGATTATTGATTGGATCAGGAGAACTGATCTTTTTTTATGGAGCGCTTCAAAAAAAATTTTCTTATAAAAAATTTGGTATTAAAATTTGAGTGAATTGTACAACTTCAACTCTTATTTTAATGATTTGCAAAAGTTTTCCATAATTTTATAAAAGAGCATGGAAATGCAATGCATACTTTGTAATCGTCATTCGGATAATTAAGAGCACTGGCAAGCTTAATAACCAAAAAATCAATTCCCTTTTCATGAAGTTGCAAAAATGAACAAAGTTTTTTGAATTTAAGCAAAGACCATCTTCTAGTAGCCTTAAGAAATTAATAATCTTAAGAAATTCTTTAAATAATGAAGAAACCGGAACGAAAAAATTGATAATTCTAAACTTACTTTGCATCCTTCACAGGTAATGACACCATAATGCACTCCAGAGGACTTGTCACCACAAACTTTGCAGGGAATCACTTCAATTTGTGCTGAAACTAACCAAGCAAAATCAGTGTTGTTTGCAACTTAGACTTTAATTTTTTTAAACATTTCTGGGTCCCACGTTGTGTCTTCATCGACGTCTATAAGTGAACGTTTTCGAGAGAGGTATTACAAAGACGTGTATATATATATATATATATGGATGTGTCCGTACGTGCGTCTGTAAAGAAATTTTTCGCTGTGAATTTTTAAAATCTCTTCTGGCGAGTATTCTCGACTAAGAAATTCGATTTCTTCGAGTTTGCTGCTTCAAAGCTCTCTAACAGGAAAGGGCTATCTTCTATGATAGATTTAAGATGTATAAATAGAAGTGAGCGAATGGATCTACTAAAATATTTTGAATTAAAAAGAGCAGTTTTTAAATCAATCACTCGATTTAATTGTACAACAATTCAACAAGGAATAATACAGCAACTGTAAAATACAAATAGGGTGTTCTTCAAAACTCTAATGAAATCAATCTTTTATCATTTTCTAATCAATCTAAAACAGTTTGTTATCTTTCAACGCCTTATTGTGCTGGAACTCATTTAGTCATTAATTAAATTTTGCTTAGGTACAGTCATAAAATATTTAATAGGTGTCAGCATTAATTATAATCACACAGTATTCAATACTGATAGTAATAATATTGAAGAGACTAGAAATTTCCATTTTTAATGAAACAGAAATCTTCGAAGCTCACATATTTCACTGATCAATTTCTGCTCGAATTTGTTCCATTTCCACTTTTATGTATTTTGCAGTTTATCACATTTTATTACTACCTGATTTGTAACACTTAGATTGGAAGAACTCAGAGAAAGTGAAGAAAATCTCGTCACTGTTGCAACAAACAGTTTCAAAAATAAGATTTAAATTATTTCCGAGCTTTAATGTGTTTTTGAAAAATAAGTATGATCATTGTAGTATTCGATGTCATCTGGTGAAATTCACACTTAACTTTCAAATTCCCACGTTAACATGGTAGGATTGAGTGATTCCTGTAGAATTTGAGTTCTTGCAGTAGTGAAATTCATGAAAATACTGAGCAATGCTAATTACTACTAGTAATAGACGGACTGGTGATCATAAATGTATTCTGCAAATTAGCTATCATATGCTTAGGTTGACCACCAAAACACTTTCTGTGACAAACTGAACAAATAAAAGTTTGATTTCACAAAATTGAACAGTAAGGACATCAAACTCCAAAATGGAATGTTGAGGCATGCAGAAACGAATCATTATATTTTACGGGAAGTTTGATAAAAATTTTAGAAAAGTGAGCTGAAGCGTACATATCCTTCAGATCAGTCAATTAATTTTCAAGTATAAAATTCTTCAGAGTGTTTCCAAGAATTGAAGCACAGCTCGTTTCACCAGTACTTACTTATTGGCAGTCTACTAAGTGAATTAAATCACAGGTAGCTTATTGAAATTTTTTTCGAAAAGAACAGCATCGAATTGTGTTAAACCACCGCTCTCTCTCTCAATAAGTTTCCTTTCCAGAGTTCTCGATAGTCCATACATTATTAGCACACCTATTGAGCAACATATTTTCATGCCAATGAGAGGGTTGAAATATTCTTGAAATCTCGAATTTTTAACAAAAAATTGCGGTGGTCAGATGACACTTAACTGTCGAATCCTTTAAAACACAATAAAATAGTAAATGTTGCAAAAACTTGATGAGAAATTCACATCTGATAAAATCATATGTAGGATTATAGATGCAACACATGAAGTTACTATTTATGATATCAGTGAAATTCGAAAACAGGAAATCATAGTAATATAAACTTTAATTTACCAATTAGGAGAATGGAGATGTTCATAAAAGAAAAGTGAACAGCTGATATCATGCATCTAATGTTATCATAAATATTTAATTAATTAAATGGATATTTTGCCAGTTTGGCCTTTAGCACCTTTTTTTTGGTTTTATACCATTTGTTATTTGTGAGCAAAATACCGGTAATGAAGTTTGAACAAAAGTGATTACATAGCTAATGACATCAAAAGTGGATTGAGGAATCTTTTACCTATCACTCAAATATTGAACTGATGAATAGATTACAACCAATTACAATGAATGGATATTGGTTATTGCCACAGCCACTTTCAAAACTAATTACAGATAAAACAACGATGCTCATTTGTCTTGAATGCGTAAGATTGTAAGCCGAGCCACCAATGGTAAACTGTGTTGCGTATTTATCTAGAGAGCTTACAAATTCTCACAATATTAGTGATTTGATCTTTACTGATGAAAGGCAAATTATAATTCAAGTCTTCTGGTTTTATCTAGAAAGATTGGATTTATTTTGCTGGTATACTATATGACACCACTTTTCCAGATAGCAACAGACATACATTCTTAAATTACTGCAAGAATTTAGTGGTACTGATAGTACCTTTTTGATTTGATTTGAAACGAAGGTTAGAAGTAAATAATAACTTTAATAAACCTTGTCTTTCCTTCCTTAACGGAATTGGGGAAGAGAGCGGCCCAGAAGGAGGCAAACTGAAAATGTTAGTTTCACAGAAAATCTAGGATTCTAGGGCACAAAATAGGGAGTATGTCGGGTTGATTTTAGCAGCAGGAGGAGTACTTGTGTACATCTCGGGGAGATGCATCGATGTTTTATCGTTTAAGGGTGTTCTTGTACTACCAAACACCACAATCATTGCTCTTGTTCTAGTTTAGTATTGTTCACGGGGATACATGGCAAGGGGAAGGCTGGGGATGTGGTGCAGTTCGGTGATGGCTGTTAGAAAGCGGAGCAGCGGGGGAGGTTCGACGCCACACGAATGGGACCCAGAAACCTGGTTTGGTAGCTCGCTTACCTCGCATTTTTGTAGAGCACCAACAACTGCCGTGTTTCGTTCCTTTCTTCTTTCCTTATTTTCCAGGGTCCCTAGTGGGCGGTGGGTTGATCAGCCAACTGGATGCAGGAGCACCGGAGAACGGACACCGACACTGCGATGATAATGGGTTGGATTATTATAAGGACAATCTCTGACAGTCCAACCCCAACAAACGATGGCCGTTTAACGGGTGTTTTCGGTACCCACCACGATAACGACGACAATGCCAGACCAAACCAACAAGCAAGCGACCGAATAGATCTCACTCTTGTGCCCCCACCTCTTTCGTCCTTTCTGTGCTGCGCCAACCGACGTCAAGTAAGACGCCTTGGTGGTACTTCTGCTATCTGCTTCTTGTAGCTGTCGTTGCTAAAAGAGGTCGAAGGTAGCGAGTGATTATTGCTTAAAATGAACAACAACGACTAAAGTGCCACTTTCCAATGCTAAACCTACAAGACTGTTCAAAGCAGGAGGCCCACTTTAGCTAGCTTCCTCCATATAAACGCCATAAAGCGATTCTGGTGACAGCAGCAGTAGCAGTGATAACTGTGGTAGCAATAGTAGTAATCGTCGGAATGGCGGCAAAACTTCCACCCGCAACATCTAGGAATCGGATAACGGTGGCACCGAGGACTGCTGAAGTGTTGTTGTTACTGGAATGCTGCTCCTGCTATTGGAGAAAGAGAACGTACAGATAGGTAGATGGTCGCGGTCGTTGTCGTAGTCGTCATCCGATGATACATCTCCTCCTATGCATGAGGAAGTGTGCATGAATTTGCCTAGCCTTCTGTCGTCAACTGCACAGCCCAGTTGGAATTGACAATTGTAATATCAGTGGCAGTAATAGTAGCAGTAGTAGTAACAGTAGTCGTAGTAATGGTAGTAGTAGTAGTAGTAGTAGTAGTAGTAGTAGCAGTAGTAGTAGTAGTAGTAGTAATAGTAGTAGTAGTAGCAGTAGTAGTAGTAGTAGTAATAGTAGTAGTAGCAGTAGTAGTAGTAGTAATAGTGGTAGTAGTAGTAGCAGTAATAGTGGAAATAGATGGATGGACAGATAGTGGTCGGTGGAGGAGGAGGTCAAATCGGGAGATGCCCTCTCACGAATTTGACGATAACGATGATGACGGCGATGATGAACTTTCCCGAGCAGTAGGAAAACCCGTGGTAATGGTAGCGGTCTATCAGAACTCTTCTCTCTTTGATTTTGGAGGTGGAGGTGGTCCTGATGCGGGGAAATAAGGAAGGGGAAAACAGGGAGGGGCGGGGAAGTTGAAATGATTTTTAAAACTTTTCAATGTTAAAACAGGGGTGGAGGGGAACAGGACCAAAACATTATATGTCCGCCGGATACATTATTATTGTGTATTTGACTGGTACGGGAGGCGGCTGATATTACTGGCGATTGTCCCCTTCCTCTTCTCTATCTTCTTGATCGGCGAGGACATCGACCCCCGACCCGATGGTTCATCAATGTTGTTGGTGGTGACGGTGACGATAACGCGACGATTTGACGAACTGCTGATGTAGCGCTGGGTAATCGTACCAGTAGCACCGATCGGGTGAAGATGAATTCGTAGAGGTGTGGTTGTTCGAAAACCCCTCTTTCCATGTCTAACACTGTGTGCCGGCTACGTAAAACCTTATCAATGAATTTTACAGAATTTTTCGAGAAATTAAGGGGAGAGTAGACGAAATCCAGAATTTTCATGATCACTTTTCCACAGATCTTCCTTCCTAATCCTTCGGCACTGCCCTTTCTGTACTCCTTATGCTTTTCAACTCCCTCCACGTCAGTCATATTCTTTCAACCAGTGTCTCCGATCGCCCATATGGACACACAGATTGTTGTACATTCCAACAGAATAATTTTCAAAAGCAACAGTGGGCGATAAGAATTAGGCCAATTAGTCATAAAAAAGGAATAAATAAGAACTTTTCATCTTGAATTCTTTTTTCCGTCAGAGCGAAGTAGTGTTTGGGATGAACGAACAACTTTACATTAACTTCCTTCAATACAGAACAATGAAAATAATATCAGAAGAATGTATACACATTTAAATAACTACACTGATTTCTCTTGCGGGAAATGCCATTCAGAACCAATGCTTTTCTTCTTGATTACTTTTCGGTTGAAGTTAAAATGTCAGCAATGCGATATGAAGAATGTTGTTAGCTAGTTGAATTACATTAAACCGAAGTGATAAGTATCCATCCATCGGTCCTCAAATGAACTCTTGCAGTAATGGATAAATGATGTTTGGTAAAATATCCGTCATCGCTAGATTCCTCGAGTGAAAGATGAGAATAAAAAGTGGGAGGAGTTCATTCATCTCAATAGCGTTTAAAATCAAGTCAAACGATCATGTCTCGATCAGTCTGTTCGGTGTTAAATTAGCTGCCCATCAATTTCAATCAATCTTATCCCGCACATTTCTTCTTCCCTTAATGTACACAAGCTTTTGTCTTTGAAATAAAACATTATAGACATTATATCCAAACACTCTCAAAATATGGGTAGAATGGAGAGAAACCCCATGTCTACATAGATCTGATCTAGTACTTAATCACTCGATATTTGTCCTGTTCATTATCTGAATTACTTGAAAGGGAGGGTAAAGTTTTATAAAGAAACAAGATAATGTTAACTGTGCTATGACATCAGCTCTCTTCCAAAGAAAAATTTGCATATCAGGGTATGGATAATCTTTTTTGCTCATAAATTTGCATTGATAATTGAAGGACCAAATATTAATCATATTGTATACCGCTAAAGAAATGAGGAAAATAAGCGAAAGATGATGTCGCAACAAAATGCCGTGGCGAAGATAGATAGAGCGACAACATTGATCTGTGACACGAAGGTCATTCAAGAGTCACAGACCCGCTATCCTTCAAAAACACCCATTTTTTATAAATGCAAAATAAATTGCAAAGAACTGATAACAGTCATAAAAAACCAATCAATAGGTGTCTGGAACCTTAAAGTTTAATAGTTTCACTATCATAACTTTCGTCCTTCGCAAAGATCACCGAACTGTCCTTTCATTATGCATTATGCAATACCCGGGAAGGTGCATGTGACCCTTCAAAGCTGTTATGCTTCAAGCCTTGTAGCATTCCATCGAAAACATCCGCCAATTACATTGTCGAAAATTCCAGCTGCCAAACTTTAGTCCGTATCTTCCTGACAACTTTAGCCAATTGTAACTGGATAGTATCTCCCTGGACAACTTGACACTTCCAGAAATATTTCCTGTTGTACTTTGCAAATCAATGAAAAATAAATGTTCAAATTGGTGTTCAATTTTACGAGTAATCATATTTCTTATCATCCTCCTCTATCATGATCAGCATGAATGCATGAAAGGAACAAGTCATTTGCTACTTATTTCAATTCCTGCATTTTATCATACAATGTGTATTTTTTGTGGCACTCATAAAGTTGATGCTTTACTATTACATTCTATAAATGCAATTAACATACCATGGAAGTAATAAAAACAAGCAATTTCACGATGTACACAACACAATTAACAATGCTGTAAGAATAATATATTGTAACAGAAAGTATGTAATATGTTATGTTATATAATAAGTATTACAAAACTAGTAACAATTTTAAAAAAATATGTCATTAAAAGCACCGGAAAATTTACGCCACGAATTTTTTTATGGTTGCGTTCGAAAATTTCCTAAATTGGGAAGTGAATTAGAGATAGATTTATTAGGAATTAGGACAGGTTTGAAAATATCAGTGATTCAAAATCAGCATAAGTTCTAATTTTATCAACATTTCTAATCCAGGGCAATAACAGAAGATCAGTTATTTTCTATCTAACAAAATACAGTGGAAAAGTATGCAAACATACAGACAAACAAGGTAAATGACTTCTCCTTACTCCTGATTCTCGCCATGGGTTCAATTAATCGGCTTTATATCATGTTGAACTCTTGGGTTCTCTTTAAAAATTATTTCTGTTCCACTTAAAGTCTCAATTTTACACTAAAAACACAATTTTTTGGAAGCTTTATGTCTATTATGCAATATCATTTAATTTATTGATTTACTTAAATTCCCTTTTTGTGCAGAAGTAGTCTATTTAAAAAGACTGCCAATTCTACAGAAAATAAAGCTGTGAAGCATTCACCCATCATTATTTCCAACACTATGGAAAATGATTTAATAAATGTTAATCTAATAGTCGCGGGATCATGATTTTCATTCGAATCCAGCTATATACCCTATTAATGTTCGTTGTAAGTCACGGTTTGTTCAATGGATTAGTTGTGTTTTGACGAATGGGGGGAGGGGGGGGGGTCGATTTGAAGGTATGCTTGCTAAGTCCTTTTGCCCCACATCGGTGACATTTACCACTTAAGGCGGGGGATAATAAACTTCTTAAAGAAGTTTTGAGGAAGAGAATGATGATATTCGAGAGAATACGTGTCATAAAAAATTAAAAGGGGTTAATGACGCAATACTAACAAGGATACTTAACTGTAAATATTTGTTAAAACAGTGGGTGAATTGATAAGGTAAGTAGACGGGTGCATATTTGTATTTATTAAATGCAATAGTGTTGTAGAAGGAAGGAAAGTTACATTGACTGAAGAGTATTGCGGGAAATGAGTAGAATATTTTGGTAGACTGAAGGTACATGCTTCCGGCGTATGTTGGGTAAATAAACTTATCAAATAGGGGATTCTCGTCGTGCTTTGCTAACCTATGAAAATTTGGGTCTGAGCTCCCCGTTGTAAATTAATATCTCTTCGACAGTTCCGTTTGGATGAATTTACACAATGATTGTCTCTATTTTTCAAGATTCACTTGATATTGTTTTAAAATCAGCGAAATAGAAGAAAATCGTGAGAAAGCTTTAGCAATGTCAAGAAAGTCATGAAAAAGCTTTGGAAATATGTGCTTTTATATTCGTGATGAACCTTGTTTGTACGACCCGTAAGCCAGGCTTGGACGGTACGTTTTGCTGAAATTAAATCCTTTATCGATTTCTATTTTTTATTCATAGGACAGTTATTTTTCTAGTACTCTTGAAACTTGCTTATATTGTTTAATGGCTGGAATAGTACTCGAGTTTTCATTATGTACAATTTTATTAACATATCTGTTACTCGTACTCTTCCTATTTAGTTCACACTGTACATACATTCATAATTATTTTTGATGGGATTACATGGTTCGTATCATCCACACAACATTCGGATACGAAATATTTATCAATGATTTTTTAGTAGATTATTACATCGAGATGAAATTGAATGTAATCTTTGCCACCATTTACAGTGAGAAACAATTGATGTGGTCGTGAAACAAAATTTGAAGAATGTCATCTGTAAACGGTGGAAGTAATCCAGCAGTTCGTGTGCCATTTGTGAATAATGTTATATTAAATGATACATTGCAGTCACAGTAATTCTTTCATATCATTTCATTTTAATTTGATCAACTGTAGTCACGGAGTTAGTGGAACCAACAAAAAGTGATGTAATTTGAAATATTGGGCTACACTTATTAATTTACACTTTAAGAAACTTTACTTATAGGAAAAATTGTCCTCGGGAGAGAGACTATTTCCTTAAAAAATAGGGAGTTAGTGACGAAAGAGTTGATAAATTAAAAATGTTGGTTGGTTGACAATGATAGTAAATTTTTATAGCTTGAATTACAGTTCCAGTTAGCGGTGTCCACTACAGTTTGCTGGTATAAGATATAATTTAAGGAATCAAGTCGGATTTCTCATTTGTAATGTTTTGTAGTACATGCCAAGTTTTTATCTGGCAGTAGTATTTGAGGCATTGGGTTGAGTGTTCATGATTTAAAAGTCTACACTTTAAGCACGCAAGAGTAAAGCTTTTTTTTAACATGCAGTTTCGGTTCTTAGTCTTTGAAGCTGTGTGATGATTATAATTTTTCTGAGAAAATTACTTAAAAAAACTTTTGGATAAAATAGGACGTGATTTAATATCTTCGCGCTGTTATTTTCTTTTAAATCATCCCACCAAGTCGTAAAGTGTTAATGTATTTTCTTTCTTTGCTCATTAAGGAAAAAAGTTATTCGTGAATCTATATTTGTCTTGCAGACGTGAAAACATTGTGCCAAATGGTAATGTTTCGTTCCAGCCAAATCAGGGGTCTGAAACGCAACGTGAAAGCAACATGCGTGGAAACGTAAGAGTACGTTTCTAAAATCTTCGTTATTGGGTTTAGAATTTTATAAGTAAACACCAAGTTGAGTTACTTGGTATTTCTTTGAACTATTTGCAGAGGCTTCGTGTTGAAGATGCATTATGTTATTTGGATCAAGTGAAACAGCAGTTTGCGGATGCACCAGATGTCTATGTTAACTTCCTCGATGTTATGAAAGATTTCAAATCCCAAGCGTGGGTTTCAGTTGTTTCCTCATAAACCCATAAAACGAGTTAGTAATTGACGCTACAACAGTCAGGAATTTTATACTCGTGGATGATGCTATTCTTGCAGCTGTTAACAAAGCGACCGAGTATAACGAAATGTTTCCAAGATTTTTGTACAATGATTTGTACTGTGAATTTTGCAGTTTGTGATATTTGCAATTTATACAGACAGATGAGTAATTAGATTTATAATTCCACCACTTCCTTAATTTTGTTTCGTGTTGTTTTTTTAAAGAGCACCACCGATTTTCAGCATTGATACGCCTGGTGTAATAAAGCGGGTTTCACGTTTGTTTCGTGGTCGACCCAATTTAATCGTTGCGTTTAATACATTTCTGCCACCCGGATTTGATGTTTCCGTTGACGGAATAAAGGTTATCATAACCGAACCAAATGGTCGTAGACAAGTTATTAATGAAAGTATGTTCTGCTTAAAAGCCATTTAGCAAAAGCTCAAGTAAAAGATGCATAGCAATGGTTAAAAATTATGATACCAGACATTCTTGTTACACAATTTTTTTTTTGGTATTGAGAAACACGCAATTGGTTTTCTGCACAAAGGTGACGGTACTTTTGTGGTTTCTCAAGTTATAAAACATTCTACATTATTGCAGAGATACTACTGCACACATATCTATATATTTATATATTTGGAATTGTGTTTGATGATCTCCGAATAGTGATACTTTTTACTAAAGCAGTTGGTAAAACACAAAATGATCTCAGAAATGTCTAGCATATCCTACTTCCTTGCTCTTCGCTTCTCCGGAGTCGTGTTTATTTCTTTTTTTTTTTTTTTGATCCTTCCTTTTTAAAATTATCGAAGCTTTCTTTTTTTGTAACCGAGAAATATTGTATTATAAGATTGCTTGTTCGCCTTGCACGTTTTATTACCTTCCTTCCACTCCTATATGTGTTACATATGGGTAGAATTTTCTGGAATCATAACAAAGAAAAGAAGCAAAATCTATTAAAATTCTAGGCTAAAAGAACTTATGGGAGGCTATTTGAGGTTATATGGATGAACACCAGGATTTTGAAGATTTGCATGAATAATACTTTATAATTAATGCCAATTTAAATTTGCTGATATATAATATCTTTCGTTTGGAATATTCCCAGTGTGCCAGAAAAATTAAAGTAAATGAAAGAAAATGATTGTGTACGCATAATTTTTAGATCATCCTGAATTATCCTCACCCGAAGCACCAGAAGCAGCACAAAGTTCTCAGATGACAAGAGCAATATCTTCGGTTGAGCCTCTTGCGGATGTTAACGAAGAACCATTATTAGCAGCAAGTGAAGCCAGTGCGTCAGATCTAGGTCTTACAACAGAACCAATTATGACTGAACAACGGGAAAGTGAACTTACATTGACTGCTACAGATCCTCAGCCTAGTACAGTTAGGCCTATTGCTTTTTTGTCACGTGTCACCACTGCAACCTATCAGGGTGCTGTAATGTACAGAAACAAAGTAATGGTAAGTAATTATATTGTAAATTAAACCTATTATAAATTGATTTCTCTCTTGCACTATATACTTAGGCTTGACCATTTTATACCTGAAATGGGAAGAAAACAGTTCTAAAAATTTCCACTTCCAGGCTCGATTCGAGGATAGACCTGAAATCTATCATAAATTTCTTGAGATCCTTCAACGACTTCATCGAGTAACACAGGTAAATCCTGTACTTTTTATTTAATAAACTCGATGAGCAAAATCATTTATAGGTCCAATTTATAATATAAAGATGACCACTTCATCTGCAGCTACAAATCAGTTACTTTCTGGTCCAGCGTAAACTGGTGGTATGCATGATTTTCTTAAAAAGATTCATCGGACCATTTTTAAACCACTGCTTACAATCATACTAGCGATTAAATGGGAATGACGGGAACCGTTTGTTATGTGACAGTCAAGTGATAGCATATCTGAAACCTTTGAGAAAACATGTTTGCTAGCCAAAATTACACAATTTAACTTCATCTCTTTCGAAGTATGTATTTTAAGGATGTTTATGGCAAGGTTTGTTCTCTATTGCAATACTATTTCTGCATAGTTCCTCTTATACTCGAAGGCATATCTCTATATTCCCAATGAATAATATTGTGTAGAAGCTATAGTAATTATAAGTAATTCACGCTACCATAATAGTCAAGTATTAGGACACATTCTAGTTATTCAGGAGTTATTCAGAAGTTACATTTCAGGAAGGAGGAGTCATTCAAGGATATAAACGAGCTGTGGAAGCAGTCCAAGTGCTTTTTGAAAATGATGTGGATTTAGTGCAAGAATTTAAGCAGCAATTTCAACCGAGCTCTTCTGGATATGGAACATCTAGCTTGTCCTCCATTGCGCTTCGCGATACGACCACTAAAGTAATCTTCGATCCAAAAATTTCGAATTTAATTTTTTTGTCAGATTAACAAGTGAACCTTTTAGGAAAGAATCCAGAAGAGTGGAGAACGCAACACTTTCGTCGTTTCTCCTCAACCTGTTTGTGTTCCAAAAGTTCAGAATCTACAAGGAATGAGTCCAGGAAAACGTACCGCTTCTATATATTCTACAACAGCAGCCAAGGTTTTCAAAGCGTCTTACTATGTTTTATAACAGTAGCCTAGCATATTTGAATGTTTTTCGGATGATATTGGTATTAGCTCAGCCAATACCCACATAAGACGACTTGATTTGTTTGGACTATGTCTGCCATTAAGCACAGTTTAAAGTTTTTGGTTACTTACCGTTTTATTAATAGTGTTTTCTGTTTGCAGAGAGCGAAATTAGGGTGTATTAATATGTTGACCTATGATACAAATGTTGAAGAAGCAGTCAAATTCGGTACTGTTGAAGATTATCTTTTCTTTGACAAGGTATGCTGGCTAGGAGAAGTAAGCTTTCTAATATTTTTCAATTTTTCGTTAAATTCTACACTTATTTTGCCAATTATTTTTACTAATATCTAATGGAAACTGATAAAGTTTGAAATACTGAAAAAAATTAAAATTTTGGTATTTCATGCAGAGCATAAGAAGATTTTCTTGTATTTATATGTAAAAACTGTTTATTAAAACAGCTATATAAAGGTACAAAAAACACTCGCTTACAGCTGATATTTTTTGCGTCCAAATATGGAATTAATGAGTAGGCCGAATTTGAGAGATTGAGTTTTTAATCTTCTTTTGCGTTATTCATTCTTCGCTGTTCTCTGTGAAACGTTTCAGAACGAATTCTAAATTATCTAAATTATCGGTAAATTTTGCAGGTACGAAAAGCTTTAATTGATAATGGCGTACATGAAAACTTTCTGCGATGCCTTGCTTTATATAATCAAAGCATTATTTCGAAAAATGAACTTGTGGAACTTTTGACACCATTCATTGGGTAAAATTTTTCAGAAATATGTTCGCCAGTAAGAAGTGTCAATTCACTTCAGTTATGTTTTGTAGTTTTAATTGGTGTGTCCCAGTGGCACAAGTAGATAATTTTTAATAATTGCTTTTTCACTTATTTGATCCTTTTTACACTGTTGATTGATATGTAATATTGTGCACATTTCTTTTCCCAGACGTTTCACACTTTTACTGAAACACGTGAAAGAACTGTTGGGCTTGCCGGATGTGCATGGCGATAGTCAACAGAACGACGATAAGCATCGGCGGCGACAAGCTCAAATGAACGATAATGTGGAACTGGAACACAAAATTGGTAATTTCAAAGGCATTTTTCAGAAATTGAAATTACTGAATAAGGAGATTATGCTGTCAGTTTTTAAATTATGAACTATCCTTGATTTAATATGACTTTATCTGTCCTTTAAAATGAAACAAAAGTTTCGCTACAGATTATGCTACATGTCGAAGACTAGGTGTTAGTTATCGATCTTTACCGGAATCATACGAAAAACCACTCTGTTCTGGACGAACACCACTCTGTGAATCAGTCCTCAACGATTCCTGGGTTTCATTTCCGTGTTGGTCTTCTGAGGACAGTTCAGCCGTCCATTCGAAGAAGACACAGTTTGAAGAATTCGTATTTCGCACGGAGGATGAACGTTATGAGGTTTTCTATTTTCGATGACGTTCTTTTTTAATTTGTAAATATTTCATTTTAAAGTAGGTATTAAACAATATATCTCAGAAGATGGGTTTTTCAGCTGGATATCGTTATTGAAGTGAATAAAACAGCTTTAGAGGTTTTGGAAATGGTTCAACGGAAGATGTTACGGATGAAAAGTGATGAATTGAAGAGCTTTCGTTTGGGTCCTTCTTTGGGTGGTAGTTCTGATTCGATAATGTTACGCGCGTTGCAGCGAATATATGGGTAGAGATATGAAACTTCCTAGATTACCTCGAATTGAAATACTAAAAGACAATTTAATTTTAAAAATTGAACTCATGGAGATTTAACCGGTTTTTCTCTAGGGATCATACCTTAAAGATGTTGGAAGGAGCGATGAAAAATCCTCATGTCATGATACCAAGACTAATTGAACGAATGCGGCAAAAAGACATTGAATGGCGTAAAAATCAAGAAGTATGTAATCGCATCTGGCGTGAAGAAACAGAAAAACATTACGCAAAGAGTCTGGATCATCAAGCAGTAGTCTTTAAGCAAAATGATTTGAAACTACTTCGTGCGAAAACGATCGTCAGCCAGTTCGAGAATTTATATGATGAGGTAAGGTTTGCATTCGGATCCGTTCCATAATTTTGCGCTTCGGGTTTAATGAAATAGTAAAATGATTAAAATGACCAAAATTTAAGTGAGAGTTAGTTTTTAAAGGTCTGTTTTTTTTTTTTCTAAGGATGTATGGCTCGTGAAGAGCCATACGTGAGGAGACATATAGTGAATTTCGTATCAATCAAAGAAGTCCCGTTGATTCCGTTTAATTGTTCTTACCCTGTGATTTTTCGAAAATTATAATAAAATATTTGGTCGGATTCCTTAAATTCATAGAAAGCACAGCTATCTTTTTTATAGTTAGCGTAAGTTAAACTAATTTTGCAGTCCAGTTCGTTTGTATTTTTAGCGCGCTGATCGAAATGATGAAGGTGAATCGATGGAATATGGGCCACACTGCATTTATTCGTATCCGGAAGATACACGTGTTCTATATGACGTTAACGATTTAGTAATACATTATGTGAAACGACAAGCGAATATTCAGAAAGAAGAAAAACGCCATGCGAAACGTTATCTGAAACGTTTTGTTCCGGAATTATTCAATATCCCACCCCAAGATTTAAGTGATGAGGAGGAAGTAGAAGAGCGAGATCATATTGGTTCGTTTTTTTTCTTTTCCTTGAAAGAAAGTAAAGTTATTGGACTCTCTTTGATGTTGTATAATTTTTGCACGTTGGTTTTGTTGAAATGGTTTTTCATAGGCAGTATGTACATTATCCGGTTCCTTACTCAGTGATTGTTATTAAAGGTCAAAATCTTGAAGAAGAGCATAATGTTGGACTGCATACAGATGAAACTCAAAACATAACATCAAATGAAGATGCGGATTCGAAAAATGTATGATTATGAAGACGGTTTATAGAAATGTCTATAATTTTATGGTGAAGAAGTTTTCGACTTAGACATGATATATATTTTTCCGACGTAATTAAGGATGACATTCATATCAGGTAGCAAGACATAATTTCTCTTCGTAAAGATCCTTTCGGGTTATGACATACGTTACAACTCGCAGCAAGTCCGAAAGAGTGGGACTTTAAAGTATGTAGGATTTATTGATGTTTTATGTAGTACATATTAAATCTTGCTGTTACCTAGCCTTTTTAGTTTGAAATTATTCGATTTTCTGCGGAAAAAACTCGAAAAAATAGGCTTTCGGATTTCTTGGTTTTCATCTAAGAAACGGTTTTAGGCCCAGTCTTCAAACGAAAACGAGACTTCTACATATCGTCTTTTCTATGGTGCCAATACATGGTGCATATTCATTAGACTTCATCACCTAATGTGTGATCGGTTGGCTTATTTGAAGAGAAAACATCGAGAAATCATCAAGAATTACGAAGTAATTCCCAGCATTTTCACCTTATAGTTTCTATAAAAGGATAGTAATGTTGGTAGGTTTCGAAATGCGTCCGGTACTAAGCAGTTTGAAACATATCTTGGTTTTTAAAATATGGTCGAGTCTTGCAAAATTAGTGTATCTTTTTTTGGATCTTAAACTCATCGTTTAAGACACAAGATATTGTCTAAAAGCATTGGATACTAAAAGAACCTTCTATAAGAAATCGGTCTTAATAATTTTTATGAAATTCACATATGATTCTTCAGTTATGATAAATCTTTAGGTAGAAGAGCGCATACGGATGGAACGTGAATCTCTAATAAACCGATGTGTCGGCGACGGTGGATCGCTGAAATCAGTTGAACTGGACACCAAACTTGGTTTATCTTTGCTGAAACCGGATAGCCAAAGTCCGGTTAACTACTACATTGCATTAATCAATGAAGTCAAGAATCTTCTGGATGGTCTCATTGATAGTGTCGCTTTTGAAGATAACGTCAGGTGAGTGGTGGTAGAATTGACTGAAATATTTTACAGCATAATGAGCTTTATTCAAATTATGGAAGATAACATTCAGGTATCAGTTCATGATGTTTTTTATTTCTCTTTTCAGGAAGATGTTTGGAACAGCTGCGTATTTAACATTCACAATGGATAAAATTATCATAACGATTGCACGGCAACTACAAAACATGTCGTGCGAGGACGTGAACATTGCTAGTATGGATCTGTACAAAAAGTATCGTTTCGAACATCCCGTCAGTTTGTACAGTCGAGACAAAAATGATGAAAATATTGATGATGCTTATGAACGGGCTGCACAAGAAGTGCTCGCCAATCAAAACTGTTTCAAGACTTTTTTCCTTCATGATACCCGAAGTGTTACAATGGAACTAATTGACAGTAATGTCACTGAAGAAGGAGAGAAAGGTGACAGCGATCAAGAATGGAGCCGTTATGTGCATCATTATGTTGAGGTTTATCATCTGATTATATTTAAATTAGCCCGGGGAACAAATTTTTTAATGGTATTTTTCATCCATCAACGTACCCTATGACTTTTCATTAATTGCATTGCGTCACTTAGTATTGGTGCAACAGCTATAGCACGCACTACTTTATATATATATATATAATTTTCGCGCCATTTTCTTTCACATGTTCAGAAAATATATTCAGAGTCTTGCTAATGAACTGTCGTCATCAGCGTTAAGTGCGGAAGATCAACAACAGATGCTCGAAACTATTAATGAAAGGCCTCCTTTATTTCTTATGAAATATATCAAAGTGGGGATGGATAAATGCAGGTCTATTTTGTAACAAAATTTTTTCCTAATGAGCTAAATAAATATAGGCTTGAATCACGGTCATAATTACTTCATTCTCAAGTTTCTTAATGTCATCAGTTTTAGAAAGAAGGACGATGAGACGAATAAAAAGAATGAAAATGGAAATGGAGAACAGAAATTGGGAGAGAATTTGCCAAATATTGCGATGAGTGAGGACCTAAACGCAGTGTTTTCTCCAGCTGGAAATTATAAAATGCGATTTACTAAAGGTTCAGGCGATCTGTTAATAAGAATTGGGGCGCCGCGTAAGGGGATGGATGTAAGTTCTTGATTTACATGCGAAATTGGAATTGTGGATAGAAAACATTAGGACGAAAATAAGGAAATAGTTCAAAAGAGATCATATATTAAAGATAAAAGTCAGTTGATTGATCTATCCCTAAAAGTTATGTTGTTGTTGGAGGCTACAGGTATAATAGTTTTATTGTAACAGTTTAGATGTTGCGAAGATCGCTTTACTTTTGATTTGCAGAAACACAAAATAGTCACAGGACGGAGAAAAGACCGTTTTCTGGCGTGGTTAGAAGAACGATTGTGCGAAGATGGTGGTGATGTGTTGGGTCCTCGAAACTGGCTTGCAGATGGTTCGCGAATAGTACCTGTGCGCCATCCTGATTTTCCTTATATCACTTACAATCGTTACTTCTCTTCCATTTCCAGTACTTCATCAACTTCATCAAACCGTAGTCAACGCTGAAATGATTGTATGTTATTTGTGATACACCGTGAATCGATCAAAATTCCGGTTTTTTTCCAGTGGTTTAATGAATTTGTAATATTTTGATGGCATTAGTTCTAGATTGTTAGATAAGCAGTCTATAAAAAATGAGCTATATATTACAATGTATCTGTTTTGTTTTTACACCCTGTAACGGTCGTAATCCATCACTTTTTTTTCTTTTAAATTTACTTACACTATGTCAGATTTCGAATATCTTGCAATAGTTATAGTAAATAAGTTCCTGAAGGATTGAAACAGAGTGTACATAAGCAATCAGCTTGCAAAAATTGATGATCCTTCGCACCGTATCCATTTCTTTTCAGTTTATATGGTTTGAACAAGTCAGGTTTTTCAAAATAAGTGATATGTAGGACCAAACATTTATGTTGTATAGGGGAGCAGATTAAATTACATCCAAAGGTAGTCAAAGAATCGAATTTCTCTTTCAATATTACTTTATTCTCTAATATATTCTATATATTTTCTGAATTTTAATTTTTCATCGGTGTGGAGAAATATGCAGATTTCAGTCCCATTCACTTATCCGAATCTTCGCATATGACAACATTGAGTATGTTGCGTTCCAACAGTGTCGGTACTGATTTCTTGTCATATTCGAAACTTGTACATTTTTTGTGCATGAGACTTCTTAATGTTGAAATAGGATAGGCAAATTATTTCAGCTATGAATTATGTTGGCTGCTACCGGGGAAACCAAGCGTTGTTCTCATCATTTGTTTACTTAACTTCAAGTTGTAGATTCCTTGAAGTGCCAGTAAACAATATACAGAAATAATACTTCCAGGATTTGCGAGCTCGATTAAAGAGTGTGAAGTGCTGATTAGGACTAAATGAGAACATATCTACATCCCTAAAATATGAGAAAGCAATAGAAGATCCATCAAAGAGACAAGCTGTGTACCCTTTAAGTAGGAGAAGGGAAGGAAGCAATGCTTTCATGAGCGTATAATACTTTTGGGGAACAAGTTATAATTCGGAGGGATTCATTTCCAATGTAAATTATATAATGATAGAGTGGGACCATTCCTATAACACAAATAACAAATGACATGTGACATTGCATTTGCATCGGTTACATGTAGGAACAATATCACTTAATGAGGAAAGTCATTTTGGATGAACAATTTTTCCAAAACACAGCATCATACCAGAACTCTAAATACCAGTAAGCAAGTGTATGTTGAGAAAATACGTAAGTATCGGGGAATGATCGTCTTGCAGTAGATATGTTATTTCGATAAAACCATAAAGACGACAAGCAATTACAGCACAATTAAAGGAACTTTCGTAATTTACAACGGTGGGCTCTAAGTCTCGTCGCAAACTGACTGGAATAAGTTGAAAACATAATGCAATGAGGCTATTTTGGCAAGATTGCTTTAATTTTTTATTGCAATACCTTAACTG